CATGAACTATAAAACATAGTCAAATAAATTTTAAGAAAATTAAGCTTCGCTTTAACGCTAAAGTTAATGCGTTTCCATATATTATTTATAATATTGAACGCAGAGTTTACTTTGTTTATGGGAATGAAGTCTTGTTGAGAATTAAGTTAGTATTTTTTATTGAAACAAGTTAAAAAGCAAACAATTCAATTCTAATTTAATTCCAGAATTCATACTTTCCCAAGCAAAGAAGAAATGTATTTATAAGAGATATCTATATAAAATAATTACGATATATATATATATATATATATATATATATATTTATCCTTTAAATTCTAGGAGGAGCATAGGGCCGTAACAAATAACTTCCACTCGGTACGATTGGTGGCCAATAGCTTCAACTTTCCCAGCCTTTCCGCATGTGTGACATTTCCGTGTTGGTTTGTGTTCTCCAGTTAAGAGCAGGTCTGCCCCTTCTTCTGTTACGAGATACCTTACTTTTGATAGTATTACACGTTTACTTTTCCTATTAAAAGAAATATTGGATGGAACTGACGTAGTCTTCCCCTTCAAGTCTTTATCATATATCTGGATAAATGAATTTGTCGATTCACAATATCCACTAGACAGTAATAATATTATAATCCTTAAATCGGTTAAGGAAGCATGCAATATCTAATAGCCAATAATTGTAATTATAATTTTTAAATCGGTTAAGCATGCATTATTGTTTCAGGGTATTAGGTCTTTTAGACGGCTGATCACTGATTACTAATATAATTGAGCGATTTATTAGAACATTCTCTTGGGTGTGAACAAATAATGTTTTGTACTTATTAAATTCAAGCAATATGTTGTTGAGACATGTAACATCATCGAGGTCCAGAATAAATATTATTCGGAATGTACTGAATGATGTCTTATATTTAAACTAATTACTTTACAGATCATATATAGTTTGAATGTAGTGCGACAAATCAATTTGAGATTGTTCTTGAATAAAAAAATTTGCAATTGAAGACCCTTAAGTTGTTGGTTTTAATATATCAAGAAATTGTGATTATTACTGTTTATGATAGTGTAAATATATAAATATATGATTATATAAAACGATTTGTTGATTTAACAAGTGAATTCGTAAGAAAGCGGCAATAATTTGTGACAGAACCGCTCGAAGGTCTGTTGTCGAAAGTACTTTACACTTATTTGCCAATAAATTTGATACATAAACATGGCAATTGCAAACTACAGCAAACATTGAAATCAACTATAAAACTTAAGATAATTTTAAATTTTCTTTTAAAAATTTCATGTATTAATATTATTTTTTTACAAATATTTCGAGTGCAGAAGCCTCAAGAGTGTTTCTACTCACCAACAATTGTTTTCGTTGCTTTCATACTTACAAGAAAAAGTTGTGCCCCGTCAAACGTCACCACATGCCATGGGAGGTGAAAATGGAAGACACTTTTAAAAATATTAAAACATTTAAATAGACATCTTCAACGACTAAGAATACAAAAAAATGTTTTTTCATGAAAGCAACTAAAATCTCTATCACTGCTGATCTGTGCAACATATGCAGCAAACGATGCGTTGCAGTATCTTTGCCAAGAAGTCAGCGAAAGGCAACCAAGTGCCGCTGATGGAGCCATGAGTTATTGTTTTGCTTTCACCTATTTGCTCTTATTTGTTGCTGAATATACGAGGGAAGAGCAATAAACTTTATAGTTTCAAATTAGATATATATAGTATAAACTGAATAATACTGTTAATGAAATACTTACTTATATCGTACATATTATTTTCTAAGGTATATTATAGGTGTATGCATTTATTAAGAGAAAATAATAAAATCAAAGGAACAAAATTTAGATATCTAAATAATAATGAAAATTCTATTTGCCACACTAATTACAACAATTTTTTTAATAATTAAATAATGTTTTTTTGGGTTGTTGGGTATTACTATACTACGCTTCTTATTGAAGTCCTTCTGGTCTATGTATAAACAGTACTAATCCTTGGTATCACAACTGGCTATTATTTGAGCTTAAGTGGGCTTTAGTGCACAAGGTCACCACTCCAACTTAACCTATTTTAAACATCTTTTTGGTGTATTATTTTCATTATAAATAATAAGATTCTTTAGAAAAAATGTAGAAATTGGCTTTTATTCCATTTTAAATAATCTCTTATATTATGGTTTTCTTCAATATAAAAGCAATTAGTTTTCCAGATCAAGAACAACGTCTTTTCTTGTGCTAGAGAGGATTCCTTCTAAAGAAAAATTCTTTATATAATCTTGATATGAATTATTATCTGTGAATTTAATCATCTGAAACAATAATGAAATTATGTTGATATTATGCATGTTCACACATGGGTTAATGGGTTATACAGATCTATTGAAATGAAATCACTTTATTAGAATTTAATGTTATATTTAAATAAAAATTGTGATATCCTGTATTAGATTTATATTTTACACATACTCAAAATTATTTTAGTTTAGATCTTTCTATGCCTTCAAGCTTTAGATTTCGATTTTGAGATTACTTGCAGTGTTCTTCTTCTTATATTTAAGAACGTATTCAGATTTTATTTGTTTTCATTTTTCTTTGTTGTAATTAATACCTTACAAAACTAGGAACTTACTCTAACGCAACTTGTCGGTGTTGTGGGAAGGAGTATGTGATCAAAAAACGCGTGCTCGAAGTTTGACGGCATTGATGCATATATAAGAGTAATACTTAGCTGCGAAATTTATTCAAAGAAATAAGATATTGTGAAGTAGGTTCAACAGAAAAATTGGACGAAAAAATCTTACATGCCGAAATACTATGAATCCATAAAGACCGCACAACAGTTTACTAGGTTGCAGTGCAAGATTCCCCAACGCAATAATTATAATAATATTAATTGTCATTTCTAATATATCATGAGGTGTTTGTTATCCCATGGTAGTACTTTTTGTTCGCATTATTTCTATATTTGATTTTGAATGTAATTCCCAATAGTTTTATATCGAGAACTATAGAAAGATCTATATCGAGAACTATAGAAAGATCTATATCGATTCATAGTCAGTTTCTAAATAAAAGTGTCCAGGAAACAAATAAAAATTAACGCATTAAGTCTCTAGTGATTTCTGTTTCCTATTAAGATTTATTTTAATACTTTTTGAAATGAAATCCATTAAATTTTTTTATATGTTAGTGGTAGTTTTCTTATACTAATCATATTTTGTTGTTAAATATTAACAAATTAATACGATGACCGAGATGATAGTCGAGTAGAGAAAAGAAATTGCTACTTGCACGATACTCTAAATAATTGTCAAGCTAAAGAGTTGATGCGTACGTTCAAGTAGGGTGGCCCTATTTAATAAAACGGAATTGAAGTTTTTGACAAACTATCTTATGGATCGTCATAGCCTGCGTTATCTTCTTAACAAGGTAGATCTCTCTAAAGAGACAGAATTTCAAATTTGTTTGTAGGCAGATGAAACCCCTAATCATATATTCTATGATTGTTTATTTTAGACATAGGCCAACAGAAAACTGCTACGTCTGAGTTTTATGCCCATTTTTAAAGGGAGGATATTCTTTACAGGTGGAATTTTAACTTTTATTCGAAAGGAGGAGTGTCTTTTGGTTAGTAATGGTCGGTGTTATTATTTATATATTTTTATTACAATTATTGACGTGAAATCGTCCACGAGCCAGAAGAGTTCTATTATTCCAATTTAACTATTGATTACACAAAGCCCTTTAAAGCTTTGTGAATAAAGTCCAGAACTAAATTTAGAGAAAAGCTCTTAATCTATTCTGGTGATAGGAATATGATTCTTCTGTGCGTTGTTAAATCTGGACAGTCACAAAGAATATGCATAGTAGTTTCCTTATCTTCGAGGCATAATCTGCATTTCGCATTAGCAGATAATCGCAGTTTATGAAGGTGATATCATGGTCGGTAAGTAACACAAAGATTAAACATGGTTGCTGTGTTCCATTATCTGGAAGTCAGAACCCCGTTTATTTACAATTGATTGAATTGTACCTTCTTAATCTTTTATATTTGTTATTAAGCGAAACATCAAATAATAACACACTTAGGACCAATTTTTAAATTGCTACACATGTTATTTTGTTGTAGATTGGTGAACTTATATATATATTATAATTATACGATGTTATATGTTAGATAAGACATATATGTTAATATTTAATACTAAAACAAAAATTTTATAAAATTATTTGCTAAGTGAAAATAACGAAATGATATAATCCATAATTTTCTCACTCTCTCTATCTATTCTATATATAAGTATTACATTCGTAATGAAATCGTTGACAAAAGACATTTTTAAGGAAAAAAAATATTGATAAGAAGAAAAATTGCTAATAACGAAATAATATAATTAATTATTTTCTCACGTTTAAGCCTTTTCTACATATAAGTGTTATAGTCTTAATGAAATCTTTGACGAAAGACATTATTAAAGAAAAAAGATATATTTTGATTTTAATATTAAAAAAATTATTTGCCTTTATATTATTAATTATTTTTAATTAAATTGTTAAATATAAAATAATGTTCATACACATTATGCAACCCCGTTCAATTGTTGTAGTTCTTCTCCTATTAAAAGCTATGACAAGTGTACCTAATCACCAACAATATTTTCGCACATAGATGTGATGTACTTTTGCTTTTGGGAATCTATGAGCTCATAAAACTCATACATTCGTTGGTATTAATAGCAATTTATATCCCTCGTACCTGCATTATTTCAGTCTCATACAAATGTAATTGTCTATCCAATGACTTTCGTACATACGTTTTGCAACTGAGATCATAATTTTGTCGCGTACCAAGCCAAAATATTTTCTGCATTCCCTCGATGGGATGGATAAAGGAGAGGAGGTGGCGAGGTGTAACCACGTACTTGGTCTTCTGCATTTTGTTCGTATCTAACGAATTTATTAATATCATCTTTGAGAATGTCTTTCGTGGACTTCTGTGCCTTCACATAATTCGTCTAAGCCTAAACGGTTAGCGAGAATTTAGTTTTTCTTTAACATTTCCCAACGCAACATTTTTGGACTAACAAGAGACCGAGTTCGAGAACGAACACGCGTGGTCATCCTTTGCGTGTGCAGTCCTTATAGACCTATTATACCAACGTGTCTTCGAGTGTTCATTTCAAATTAATTTCTGCATTATAAATTTTTTTAATAATATTATTTATTAATTTAAATCGCAATCATGAGTGTAAGTGCAACATTAAAATAATTTTACAAATAATTTATTAATTGATATTGCCATAAGTAAAAGTATCCTGAGATTATTTTTTTACATTTCATGTTAATTTTTTTAAAATTTATATACTGTCGTGCCAAAATGGTCAAAACATTAATAAAATTTATATTTTTTTAATTAAACGGTAAAAAATTATATACTCAAAATATTGTGAGTGATATATGGAAATGTCACATGTCTGCGTTTTTTATGTCACGAACGTTAATCTTGCGTGTCGTTTGAGTGCCTTGGACCACACATTACGTCCATTTTCCACGGTGCATGCGACTTTCTATATTCTTGATCAGATTGCGCCTTTTTTTGTAGATAAATAATGTAGTATATTTGCGGAATCTGAAGTACTTGTGTGGCGTATTATATAAATAAAAGTAATACGGAGCCTTGAATAATAATAATTAAAATTAATGTGAAATAATTAATAATGAAATAATTTATGACAAAACAGAGAGCAAAATATGGACACATAGAGCAACTAAGTTATAAATCCATAAGACTTGGGTTTATATAAAACTAAAACTTGGCTTCAAATTATTATTGTGGCTTTAATATGGTAGTGTTAATATGGTAGCAGTGAAACCAAATTATATTATTAATAATCAAACTAATAACAATTGTTCTTAGTTTTGCTAGAAACATTTTTTTCTTCTTCCCTTTATTAATATAACTGCCAAGATTTGGTATCTAGTATCTACCATAGTATAATTTTTACATAGTGCAAATCACAATAATAATCCAAATCAATATTAAGAATTACATGTATAAACTATTAACAAAAAATAATTAAAACGTGTTTAAATTAAATAATATAAGATATTTAAACATAAAAACTAGATGAGTCAATGAAAAGTTTACGATTGTACTGTGTACATGTTAGATAGGTAGTTATGGATTATTATATTGATAGTTCTGATAAAAAAAATGTTTCAATGTCTATTATATGTGGCTTCGTGCTAAAAATAACAAAATTATTATTGATTTATTTGTTAAAACTCATTTAGTTAGTACACATATTACTTACATACTTATTTGGCCTTAACCACCCCTTACCGAGTTACGGCCCGACGCAGCATGGCTCTCCAGGCGCCTCTGCTGCATGTGAGCCTTCTTCAGTCTCGTACGTTAGTTCAGTTAGTACTCCCTCAATTTGATCACTTCACTCCTGTCGCCAGTGCATGACGTAGGGACAGTACACATATTTATATACCTATAATAGAAACGTCATATTAGAATTAGTTTTAAAAAGCGGTTAGAAATATCTTTTAGAACAAAGTATCGTCTATAATCGCAATATGTTGCGTCAGTGAAAGCCGAAAATCCTGTTCAGTTTAAATTTTAATAATAAATTTCTAATTTAAATCAATCAACACATAATAATTTTAATACATATAGAATACAAAATTCGATATTATATTAGTTCAATAACTTTTATACTTTCTCTTTGGCTAGGGTATATACTCAGCGGGTATATGAGTACCAGAATTTGTACACAAGAACTTGTTTTATCTTCTATTGAGTAAAATGGGTTTTACAAAAATAGATAGATAGACATTATGTCATTTTAAATGTTAGACACGGAGTTCAAATTTTATTAAAAATTATTATTTATTCAACTAAAAAGTGCAATGACTTACAACTCTGAAGTATTTTTTATTTAAAAAATTGCTTTATTCTGATATATTAACACAAGAACGGATCAAGTAAAAAATTGTATATTCAACATTATAATATCTTCCTATTATTCTATTATCATGTCAAAATTGAAGCTTACGCTCTTCTACAAACTACTACTCAATGCTCAAATATATAGTGTCTGACATCACTGCGTCATAGGAAGCTGCACATATATTTACATATTTATGTAGGCTATATATATAAATTAGTAATTAAATAAAAAACTAATTGTTTATTAGTATATACTAGTTATATGGTGCTGTACTAGTTATATATGTATATAACAAGGTGGCATGTGAGAGAAGACGTGTGACAAATGGTTGCAGTTGTTCAGTTGTGTTAAAGTATTGGATTATATTCTAAAATATTTTTTAATTAAATATTTGTTAGTAAAATAAAAGTACATTTTTATATATACTAATTGTAATAATTACGTATTTACGTAATATTAAAATACGTAAACAAAAAAAAAATTCTATTAAATTATGGATCCCATGTCAAACTGTGGAACTGTGGTCTTTTGAGATTCAAAATAAGTTAAGCCAATTTTTATCACATTAGCCTAAAGTGAATCGTATTTTATAGAAGGTATTTTACATTGATCGAAATCGTTTTTGATTGCCGGAGGGAAGGTCTAAACTATGTGATAGATATATACTCTACTAGATAGTTTTTAAACTATCTCGTCGGTCATAGCTTTCTCTTTAAATGAATCATTTGTTGTCATTTGTTGTCTGTGCAGTTCTCTCATTATTCATTCACTTTATCTTGTCACCTTTTTGATGAGTTCTAAGATCCCACCAAATACACAGCATTATCTTAACGTTGTGGATTTTTGGCTTTGAGCTCGATTTATCTGTTTGGTACGCTTAAAATGCTGTTTTTTTAAATTTCAATGTATTGATTTTTTTTCTGTAAGCATTTTTGACATTCAAAATCGTTTTTCGACGTTTTTCGGCTTCAACTCATATGTCAACCGAGTGCCTTGCTTTTAGATGACACCCAAGAAAAACAATGGTTCTTAAGTAAAGCCATTCTTTTTCAGTTTTCTATTTAAAAGAGTGATTCCACAAAATTTTCCGCAAATTTTGATTTAAGGCTCATTTCTCATTATTGAAAAAATATAATAGGAACAGAATAGAATAATTTATTCTTAATAGAGAGTAACTGACTGATTTCTTACAGCTGACAACTGTAAAATTAAGTATTACATTACAGTATATATTTGAATAAGAACATCTGTTAACAAATTTTGATGACTAAGTTATTGACCTAACAATTATTAAATGTTATTTGTTTTTAATGAATAATTGAATAAAATCTCAGGTGTTTTAAAAAGTATTACTTAATGTAGATAACACTTGTCTTAATTTACTGTTGATAAATATTTATATACTTAAAAAATACTTAATATTTAATAAATATTTATATACTTAAAAAATACTTAAGGGAAATTGGAAAGAGTAAATATCAAAATATCACACAATATATTATACATATTATTTATTTATATATTATACATCTATATATATATATAGTAACATTTAATTTAACATTTAATTTAATATTAATAATAATAATATAAAATATTATTATGTAAATATAATAATTTGATTAAATGAAATTGGCTTAAAATTTAGAATATTAATAAAAAAAATTATAATAATAGAATTAATTTTAATAATGGATGTAATATTAAAAGATTATATGTAATAATTTATTGACATTATTATTAATAAAAAATATTTCCTGATGTATTATTATATATATAATAGTATATATATTATATATATTATTATATATAGTTATTAATAAATTTATATTGTGTTATTTATATATTGTATTTTTTTTTTTATTTTAGGATGATTTAACAAAGGAACAAATTGCGCGTAAGTCCACATCTATGAATATATTATATTGACAATACATTAGTTATTTTCTATCCATTCACAATCGAAACATTTCAGATCGGCATAGCATTTATTGCATATACCTACAGACCACCTTTTCATTTAAATAGAAATACGGTGAATAATTAAGTGAATTATATTTGTACTTTTACAATAATACCATTTTTATTAATAAAATTAGAACCACGGTAATGTTAACCCTATATACAGTATACTAGTATATTGTACTTCTTAGTTTTTATAAATCCTTTTTGATTCTTAAAATCAAGCTTTCATAATCTGATTTAGTGATTTGGCGAAGTCTTGAGTCCCCCAGAAAACAGCATTGCCACTGAAAGAAGAATTAAACATTTAAATAAGTAATATTTTTCAATGGATATACAATAAATTAGTATTAAATAATAATAATAATAATATAATTTTTATGTTTTGGTATAATTGAAGACAAAATTGACAATTGTAGGGAACTGCGTCATTTATTTCATAGTAGGACTTCATTATTTGGTTCAAGTACTTTCTGTTTGACAAATTTAAAGTTTTCGTAAGAGCACCTCAATAATCCGAAAAATATTCACGTAAGTAGTCAGTCGATACTTTCCGTCATTTAAGATTGTCCGTTCGGTGTAATTTATTTCGAGTTGCCAACATTGAAAAATGAATATTTTGCTTAATAAAAGACAACTCCTACACGACGGATTATCTAAATGACCAACACTTCACTGTGCTAACCAAGAAGTGATAGACTAATGTGAGCGGACGGACAAACGGACTGACAACCGAATTGAATTGGTGTGGTGCGGAGCGACTGAAAAGCCGCCGTGGCAATAGACAACGGCGAGGTAGATTTTTCTGCGTCGCGTGCAACTGGTGGACAACATAAGAAAAAGTTGCATTTATTTTTAAAAATATCTGCAACATTTCATTTTAAGATAAAATTTTTTTTAGAAAGGTGCAAGTACTTCAAAAGTGTTGTAATGCAATAAATTAAAAGCAAATCACACATGTGTTGGGTTTTAGGTTGAACAATAATTTTTCTTAAATGCGATAAGTACAAAAAGTGGATTTGCCGGGTTGAGTAACTATCGAATGGCGGAAGCCAATGCGAAGCTTGACAAAAATCAAACTGATATTATATATATATTTACAATTATTTCAAAAAAGATACAAATAAATATAATGCGTGCATTATAATATATGTTTATTAACATTTCTCAATAAAAAACTACTATGATTTTATTAATCATAATATTCTTTAATGTTCTTAAATAATAGATTATTTTAGGTAAGATTTTACTTAGGTTCATATAGAATGATAAGCTAAATTTCTTCCCCAGTGTACTTGTACACATTATGGTTGCATCATTTCAAGGCCATTTCTGTTTCCGATATGGTGCTTCTCGTGAGTTTTTAACTAAGACTGCCATTAAAAGTTTTGAGTTTAAAATCTAAACAAAAATTAGTTTACAACGGAATGAAAACATATTGTGCCATAGACATTATGTACATACATATAATAATGTAGAAATTTAAATGTTAATAAAATTTTGAAGAATCTTTGTCTTTAATTAACATTCTCAGGCTTAAAGGTTCAGTTAGTCTGTACGTACTGCAAGAACTTAAGCGACCTTAAGTCAAAGCGAAATGCACAACAAACTAAATTTATGTAGTTCATAGGAACGAAATTAATAAAAGCGGCGAACTTTGTTAAAAATTGAGTTAAACAATATGAAAACAATCGCAGTTCGTATATGTATATTGATATGTGTATATTGATATGTTCTATATTACACTATGTTCCATAACTTTTTCATTTCCTTAATTGGAACTATAATGCCAAATGCATCTTATGCTTTGAACGTATTGTGGATATAGTAGATCTATGGAACACTGTTAATACTTTTAATTCAGTTATAAATTTTTTATAGTTTATCATATCACTGAAATAATTAGTCATAATTTAAATCAACTTCGAACCAATACTTAGACTGTGTGCGAGCTCGAGTAAATTGAGGTAAAGTAAATTGAAATTTTCTAGGGATGTTTTGCAAGCACTCTTTTACATAAATATTTATTTATTTATTTATTTATTTATTTTACTGATTTATTATTTTTGGATAAAACTTTTCAAATTATTTAATTATTTATTAAACTTTTTTTAAAATTTCCACAATGGTGACACCGAATTTATATAATTTTTATCTAATTTACCCTACTAGAAATTCTGGTAAATACCAAATTCGCTGCCATACAGACATAATTTACTATTTCGTTCAATTTATCATCAAATTTACTCGAAATCGCACACGGGCTTAACAATGATAATGTTTATCGCATTACAATATAAAATGGATATAGGAGGATTTATAATTATTATCATTAACAGTCATTATATAACATATTGCTATAACATAAGCAATTATAATAATTTCTGAAAAATAAATAAATTGTGATAAGATAAAATTTAATATGGGAACAGTTTTAAGAGTTTTGAAATTAGGATAGGTTTTATTCCTAACCTAAAAACGAAAAGTTCTTCTTTTTTCTTAGTAGTTATTAAAAAAATGTATTCAACAATATATACAATATATATATATATATATATATTATAAGATATATATATATTTGCTATCGAGATTTGTTAACCTATCTCAGAATAATTATTGTAACTTAAAAAGTTGCTTCATAAAACTTGTCGAGGAAAGAAAGGTTATTTAAATAAAGAACGTTCCTCTCTATGTCTATGATTATATTATTTAATATAAAAAGGACATTGCATTAATATCGGGAATCTAGTTTCAGTTGCTGTGCCGCATTGTCTGCGCATATATATACACATGTCTATATTATCACTACCCATCAATCAGTTCAATTATTGATAAGAGAGGTATTACTGGATCGGTCCAGTTTTTTCTAAGAAATGTTGCTTTATTCGCAACTGTGGGTGCTTGAAAGGACATATACTTACACCTATTGGTTACGCTCATACTTATGCTGTTAGAAACAAACAAATTGGTATGATAATTCTCTGTTATATTTTATGTATAAAACCTATCTCTACTCTGTATAGATATAAGTTAAATTATAAATATTATTTGTTTCCCTATAATTGTAAAAAAATAAAGAGTCATGAAATATTAAATATAACTTTCCACATCATTCTGTAAAGGTTTATGTTTGTGAAAGCTTTTATGAGGTAAGGTCTTCACCATTACGTTTATATCTGTGGTACTTATGATTTTATGTCAAATCTCAAGGATGAGCGTTTGATGTGCTAAAGGTTTCCCCAAAATTGGTTTTATAATTGGACAATTGTCAAAAATCAATTTGACTTTGTGATAGAAATATATGGAATAAAGCATTAGCATTTCAGTATCTGAATTGATATAGACTAAAATGTGTTTGACCTATATTGTAATAACAACAATTTGCAATGTATTTATTATTACGATTGCTTTTTATAAACATTAGATATTCTTGAATAATTCTTTGAAACTATATCTTTACTTATTAAGATTAGTTTCTATTCAATACCGTCTTTTATATTCACAATCATTATTCACTGGCATTGATTACACACTAAATTTCACTAAATATAGTTATTTAAAAATATTTAATAAAAAATTTTAACAAATTCTTAAAATTGTGTCTTTGTAGTTTTGCGCAATGCGTTCAATGCCTTCGATCCAGAAAAAAATGGCTACATCAACACAGCTATGGTTGGCACCATTTTGAGTATGTTAGGTCACCAACTCGATGATGACACATTAGCTGGCATTATTGCTGAAGTCGATGAGGATGGTTCCGGACAGATTGAATTCGAAGAATTTACAACATTAGCTGCGCGCTTCTTAGTTGAAGAAGATGCAGAAGCTATGCAGGCGGAGCTTAAAGAGGCTTTCCGTTTGTATGACAAAGAAGGCAATGGCTATATCACAACTGGTGTCTTACGTGAAATTTTGCGTGAATTGGATGATAAACTAACTAATGATGATTTGGACATGATGATTGAGGAAATTGATTCTGATGGATCTGGCACCGTGGACTTCGATGGTTAGTAACCTAACAATATTAAACCAAAATATTGATTAAATTTTTATAAATTTTTGCTTATTATAGAATTCATGGAAGTCATGACCGGTGAATAAATATAACAACAGTTAAGACCACCTGCGCCGTACGAGCATCCAAATTTTGAGTTAGGAAACTATTTCGGTCACCTACACACACATATAAACATAAAGCGCGATCAATCTCCTTGCTCCAAACATCAAATCCTACTACATGCATTCACATTTGATATACGTTATATAGAATTTTTATTATTCACCATTTAAAAATGGGAAAGCCACAAAAATCGATTTTATGCAAAACTGTATTATACATTTAAAAAGATAAATGAAATTTTTACTAATAAAGTCTAAAATAATACCAACAACAACACAATGATCAATTTTTCATTTCTTACTTATGCCTGGGAACAAGTTCAAGTCACTGTTGAACTGATCTTTCAAACTCAATCTCGGCAATATCAATCATAATACAATATATAATAATTATATATACAATTTTATGCAACAAAAAACAAATGTAAAAATAAATTTAAATCTATTAGTATAAAAGACAGACAGACCACTTGTCTACACAATCAACACCCCCATGTCGATTAAGTCGTTCTAACGTAATGACAGCGAATTAGCTGAACAATTAAGCTCGGTTTCAGCCACATTTATTATGTTAAACAGTTCGGATAAGCCGTCGAGGAAATTAATTTTTAAGTATATTCAAGTTGTGTTTTTTTTAAATAATTTTTTGTTATATATATCGTTATTATATCTTGTTCTCTATATTTTTATATGCATATTATTAAGACTTTTTGAACGTTTAATTTGTTAAATTTTAATTGTGCGAGATAAGTAATCGTTATTGATACAACACATGAAGAGCAGATGATTTCTTCCTAACTAAATTAAAAATTAATTTAAATTAATTAAATTATTATAGTTTTCCATGTTATGTATACTTTTTCATTTATATTTTGAGAGATTTTATAAAGGATTTTGAAATGATTGTAAGGACAAATGAATAAATAAATATGCAATGGAACAGCCTGTAATGGCATTGGTTGAACATTATTTGTTTTTAATTAATTAAATTTTTATAAGTAGAAGATAAAATAGTTTAATTAAAATAACAGATTATAAATTGAAAGATCGTATAAAATGTCTGAAGAGTAATTTCTAAATGAACATGCGACTACGTATAATTAAAAGATATACTCATTTCACACAACAAACTTAAGGCTTCTTCCAGAAGGAGGCTAAATAGTTGAAAGAGAAAGCTAAAGAAACGTTGTAAAAACTGAAAGTCGAATAAAAGATGCGAATATTGAGAGACAAAGTAAACCGATATATCTGGTATTATTTTCATTTTTACTGAACATTTGAAAAAATAAAGAAATGGAATACTCGGTAAGGTATGGATTACTGAAGACATCTTGAATGTCAAAAGAATCAAAAATATTGTTAGAATTTATTTGTTAGAAATTACTTGTAAATTTGTTAATAAAACTTTCATAAAAGTTAAAAGTCAAGTACGGCTTTGGGTCAGTTGGTGCGCTGATTCTGAGCTTCACATTTGGCAGGATCCAAGTTCGATTCCTGGTACTTACAGTCTCAAAAATAATTATTTACTTACTTACTTACTTAGTTGGCCATTACAGACGTGTGTCGTCCTTGGCCGCGTCGAGTAGCCTCCGCCAGTCAGCCCGATTAGTTGCCTTCTGACGCCAGTTGGTAGTACCGAGCGCCCCCAAATCGTTGGTCACCTGGTCCACCGAAGATGCGGACGTCCTCTACCGCGTTTTCCACCTGCGGGTACCGAATCAAATACCTTTCTAGCCGGAGCACTTCCTTCCATTCGAACAACATGACCAAGCCAGCGTAGCCGCTGAATTTGTATGCGCTTAACTATGTCAATGTCGCGGTATAGCTCATACAGCTCAACGTTCCATCTAATTCGATAATCGTCGCCAACGCGTAAGGGACCATAGATCTTCCGAAGAATTTTTCTCTCGAATGCACCTAACGCCTTCTCATCACTGTTGGTAATTGTCCAAGCTTCTGCACCATACAGCAAGACAGCCATGATAAGGGATTTGTAGAGCGTGATTTTTGTTTGTCGAGAGAGGGCTTTATTTCTCAATTGCTTACTTAGCCCGAAGTAACATTTGTTGGCAAGAGTAATTCTTCGTTGAATCTCTAGGCTGACGTCATTTTTGGTGTTTAAGCTGGTTCCTAAACAAAGTCTTTCACAACTTCGAACTTATAATTGTCAACAGTGACGTAGGTCCCAAGACGCTCCGGAGATTTGTTTGTTGACAGAAAGTACTTTGTTTTATCCTCATTTACCACAATACCCATTTGCTTTGCTTGTTTTTCTAAGTTGGAAAATGCCGCACTGACGACGCGTGTGTTCAGACCAATGATATCAATATCGTCGGCATACGCAAGCAGCATTACACTTTTGTAGAATATTGTGCCAGTACGGTTTAAATCTACTGCTCGAATTATCGTTTCCAACATTAGGTTAAAGTAGTCACACGACACGGAGTCACCCTGTCTGAAACCTCGTTTGGTATCAAACGGCTCAGAGAGGTTCTTTCCAATTCTAACGGAGCTGGTGGTGTTGCTCAACGTCATTTTACATAGCCGTATAAGTTTTGCTGGGATACCAAATTCAGACATA